CTTTCTCCCTTTTCTACCAAGCACTATCCCTGTCCATATTTCTAACTCTTTCTGTCATTTTATCTTGTCGCTCTGTGTTCTTATAAAGTCTCTTTCTTTGGAAAGTCATTAACAAAAGCAGAATTAGCATTAATTAGAAAAAAATGTGAAGGGGAAAAAAAAAATGGCCCGGATCAGAGAGCTCATTTCTCAAGTTTTTGATGGACTTTTCTAGAAAGAATCTAATATATGAAATGTCACATATAAGCAAGCATCATGCCTTCTGCTCCCAGCACTTACGTATTTACTTACAGCACTGTTAGTTTTAGAACATCTGAAATACTAAGTAATACAAAACACAATTTTTAGAATGCCTTAAGTACTATTAAAAAATAAGTTTATATACAACCCCCAAAGAAATTCCAAAAAAGAATGCTACTATTTATACCACCATAAGTAGTGAAGGCAAACATAATATACTAGACAGCTAATCAGAATTTATTCTAGTATGAAAAACACTTGAAAGTGCTCTAATATAATTCCAATAAGCTAAATAAACAGCACAAAAAAGGCTCAAGCCACTTTGATATTGACCTGCAGAAGCAGATCTCCCTTTGAATAAGGCACATTACAGCAATGAAAAGAACGTTCACACCCCTGCAGAGAGAAGCATTTGGTATCCCCAAACACAAATTTGCACAAATTTCAGGATTTTTTAGACTTTTTAGCATCCCCTAAGCAGCAATATACATATTTCAGCATTTGACCTGTGTTTTGCTTTTCTTTTCAGAAACAGAGCCTCAAAAAACACATGTAAAATAAACCTGTCTGCTTTCACCACAGAGTGGTTAAAGATGAATTTGCCCTAATTACTGTCTACAGTGGCAAATAAATAAACCTAAACTTCTATTTTTATCAAAGAGGGAATATCCAACACATTTTTGAAATACTTAAACTCATGAGTTTTTTTTTATATTTATGCCTGGATATTTTGTCATAAAAACAGCTAGTAAAATTCACAGAATCACAGAATGTTTAMCGTTGGAAGGGACCTCTAGAGATCATCCAGTCCAACCTCCCCGCTCCAGCAGGGACACCCAGAGCATGGGGCACAGAGCAGCATCCAGGCGGGTTTTGAAGACCCCCAGAAAAGGAAATGCTAGTTACGCTGATCTATTTCTCAGTATCGACATTCTTCAGATTTATAACATACAAGACTTCTAAGCTGTGTTACTATTTTTAAAATATTTTTATTCATGCATAAATGGACAAACGGACAAATGAATAAAAGGACACCAAGAAYAGAAAGCAAAACAGTGGTTGGTTTTCTTGATGACTTGCGTGGACATCTGTCGCAGGTCAAACCATCAGCCAAACCTGTCATAACCAGCAGGGAGCTACAAAGAGGAGTATGGGCTGCTTCCACCTGGCTCAGCATATATTTTGGGAATAAACAGGACAGGAGGAACAGCATACAACTCAAGTTGCATGGAAAAGGAAGATATCTGACTCTAAGTCAGGGTTTCCAGCTATTTGCAATAGAAGCATACGACTATTTTTTTTWAAACAGTCTATTGCAGAGGTTTTCCACCGATACAACACAAATCTGCAGCAAGCATGAGTTGCTGGTGATATCTGTCAGGTCTGAAACAATGGTAGTTTTACAGGTTATGCCAAAAGCGGAACCATCCTTGTACCTTTGGTACATACCGGAGAAATGAAAAAAGGGCACTTAAGCTGGATTTTTTTTCCWGTAGTAGTGATTATAAACAAATAGACAAAAGCCACTATGCCCACGTGAGTCTAGGGCACGGCAAGAACCCTACCCTTAAAGGACTAAAAAAATGTTTCCCTAACTCAGTCAACATAGAGGGTGCAGCTGAAACCAGTCCAAAGGTCCTAAGAGAGTATGAATGCACTATTCCTGGCAGTAGGTACCAGCATAGTGGAATTTTTTGGTAGTTTGTGCAGGATTAAGCCCCTATTCTACATTACCAATTAGTTAATTCCACTAAAAATCAAAAGTACTTTGTGAAATGTCTGAGTCTGGTAACTAGTACTCAACAACCAATATGCAACTCAAGTTACAGCATGACAGAAGCAAATTCTTCCATCCTGAAATAGCACCAATCCAGTTAATCTAGAATTTGGGAAGTGGTGGAAGTTTTTTGTTTCCCCTCTTAATGCCCACAAAGAGTCTCCCTAGATGATCTTGCTATTCAGATGGTCTTTAGAAGATCACAGATAGATACTGACCTCTTTGCAAAAGACAAACAAACCCTTGCAAAACACAACTGGACAGACCAATTGAAAAGATGATTTATGTGTACATGGGAATCTGAAATCAATTGTGATCTACTAGGAGAGGATAAGACAATCAGCTCTGAAATTATTTTGGGATGCTCTTTATTCCTTTAAGAAAYTTTCTGCTGTTGGCAAGACGCCTTGGAAACAAAGGTGCATTCAAGGAGAAACGTATTATGAGCACTGCATGTGTCATGTCACCCCTGCTAGGAGACACTAGGCACTCACCAGTGAATTTAGTGTAGTCTGGATGCCTGATTAGGTGTAAAGTCTCTTTGCCTTTAACTCAGTACCASTACAAATAATGCAAAGGCTACTAAAAGACTGGAAATTTGATACTGGTAGCCATGGCATTCTATCTGAAAGACTCCCAGATGAAAATACAGAGGAATGACCCATGGCTACAGGTGCAATAACCACAGATACTTTATRTTTCAATTTCAAAAACATCTTTTCCAGGAATAAACACTCTTACAGATCTCTGAACAGAAATAATTTGAACTTTGCCCTTCACCCAAGATTTAAGACAAGAAGGAACAGCAAGCAAAAAAACTCAGAGTTGAATCGTTTCTTGAAGAGAAAAATGCATACGCTGAGCCTTGCAACTTAAGGGTCTCTGTAGTTTTTACTACAGAGAGTAGTAGACTAGTTTTTAGTAGTCTAAAAAACTAAAACTAGGTTTTAGTAGTCTAAAAAACTAAAACTAAAAAACTAGACTGTGGTTTTTACTAGCTTTATACTTACTTAAAGTAAGTGGCAACTTCCGAATTCACATCACCTTCACTAAACAGAACCAGGGCTTACATACTGACAAAGCTTGAATGAGATACAGGAACTTAGAAAAAATGTTAGCTGTTAGTGTTTGCTTTGCAAATCTGTTCTGGTATCAAATACGTTTCCCTCAGTTACTTGGGGGATAGGGCTTACCAGAGCTCTTCAACAGAACACTAAACACTTCACATTTGGTCCTCAATTATTTTTGCTATGAGCTATTCTAGCATTCTCATGCATTCAGTTCTCAGTCTTTCCAGCATTATGACTACCATAAGCACTGAACACAAACTAGTGACTACACTATATAAAGTGTCAGCTGTTCTGTGTAAAGTACAAGTGCATAAACATCTTTTCTAGTAAGGCATAAGCACATTTCTGGGCTTTTTTTTTTTTTGGTCCACAGCGTATTTCAAGAAAAGTCTGCATGAGGAAACCAAAAGGAACAGAAGAAACATCACAAAAACTTATTTGAAGGCATTTTTTWAATGAAGTTTTAGAAGTAGCTCCAGACTTTATAGTGAAACTTATTAAATTGTATACATTGATTTGATTTCTAAGAATTCCATTTCAGACAGCTGTGGTTGCTGGCCAGGAGTTAAAAGTGGAAATAACCTTTCTCTCTCCACTATTTATACCCTAGTACCCTTCTAGCTCAAATGCTTGGTAGTGGGCTAAGAAGGAAACGACTGCTGCTCTCTGCAATAGTGCTCACAAGACCCAGGCAAATTCAAATAAAGCCCAAAATGAAGCATAATTAAAACCCCAAGACTCCTCATAGAGAACACTTTCTGCAGGCACCATCCTTGGCAAATCAGGCAAGATTCTCAAAGCACAAAAGCCTCAAATCAATTTTTTTGCACCTTATACYACCACTCTCAGATAAACAGATGCATCTTTAAGTGCACAGTGTCAAGCAGGCGGTATCGGAGAGTCTCAGATGCTACCCAAGTAATCATCAACAAATAAGCAAAGCTAGAAATTGTTAAGGAAGGCTATTTCAGCTTCACATCCCCCCAATATTCAATCTCCCCTACAGATTTCTTCACCAGTTTTAATTTTCAAATAGGTTTAAAGGAATAATGCAGCAGTTCTTGAGTTTAGGCAAACATCTGAACTTGGGAAATTTACTTTCATAGTATATTATGAAACACATAAATCTCTTCACTGAAATAAAAGGCTCAATAATTTCAAGTTGTGAATGGTTGATTTCAATGAAGTCAATAAGATACAAGTGAGAAACTGAAAGGGGTGCAAGCACTCACTGAAGACAGCATTTATACTCTTKCATTTTTGAGTCACTGTCAACAGTAAGAGTCCACATATATTTTTATTTCTGAAAATTTAGAATATATTTGCCAATTACGTACCTTGAAGTTGCAATTTCCACTTTGGTTCTTGCCATTGCAGCTGCTCGCTGTGCTCCCTCTATTGCTCTGTCCACCTTTTCTCTAGTTTTTGTGTTTCGTATTGGTATAAGTTGCTTTCTTATTCCACGAACCAAAACATTATTTTTATATTTTCCCTCTTCTTTGGTGCCATCTGGAAACATGGTACATCCATATCCATGCCTCCTGTTATTTAGCCATTCTCCTTCATATTTCATACCATTTGAACGCTCACTAATACCAAAACCACTGCGCTTGTCATTCTTCCATTCACCCATATAGGCTTCTGTGGTGGTGGCATCAACATGGTCTTCCACAGGGCAATAATCACAGTCACCATCTCCAAAGCTAATTGTAGAGTTGGCATCGCTAGAACTAATCCTGCTCATAGCAGCATCGCTCCTGACAGAGCTCCGTTTGCTAGATATTGATGATCTAGATTCAGATTTTCTAAGTTTTATACTACCAAGAAGGGATCCTCTTCTGAATAAGCCTCCTTTTTTCTTAATGCCCATGGCTTCTGCGTCACTGTGAAAATTGAGCACAAAACCTCCTCTTGTTCCAGCGGGGCTGTCCGCAGTGATGTCGTGCAGAACAGTGCCGTTGCTCTGCTCACTCCGAAGCGAGGCTAGAGATGTTCGGAGTGGGGAGCGGATCACAGTCGCCATGCCATAGGGTACACTCTGACGTACACCATACCCATGTCGCATCCCTCCTGTCCACTGCCCCTGGTAGGTACCTTTTAAAGTGATAAAGAGAATTTTAATTTTGCAGGTTCTAGAAGACCTGCTAAGCTACACACAGCATATTATTGGCAATACTACATTATCAACTCTTCTGACAAGTAGAAACATGGAAAAAAAAATACCACAGAGTATGAAATATTTTGTTCCTGGTTTTGCTTCTGAGTTATTTGTCCACTGTGAAAAGCTTTTTCCTTGAAGCTGCAATAATATCTTTTGGCAACTAAAACACAGTGACTATCAGAGGTGAGTTTTAAATGGGTCTATGTATGGAAGAAATTTCTAGAGGAACTCCAAAACTCTTTAAAGGTGGTCAGATAGGGAAGGGATAAGCAAAAGCAAAACCATGCTACACGTGCTCTAACAGGGAAGGACTGAGCATTGGAGGAAAGGTAGGGAGCAAGTTACTCATGTCTTCTGCCTGCAGGCACTCACAGATCCTGCTCTGTGTGTGTGTGCGCAAGAGCAGAAGGAGCCARTGGGGGCAGCAAACATCCTGCTGTGTGGGGGCGGTGGGGGGAAGATGACTGTAGGCTTCTCCATTTCAGAGGACATTTGACAAATCACTAAGATGCTTGATCTAAATGCCAATGTGAAGACAATTATCATAACATTTAATTGTAGAATTAAACATTTCTTTTCTTTTTTTTTTTAATATACTTGAATGGAAGTATTAAATGCCAAGACCAAAACCTTACTTTATTTCAGCTCTTGATATCACTATTTCTGGCTCTATCAATATCATAATCAAGGTACATTGGCTTCACAAAACATTGGTTGTATAACAGAAGCTCGGTTTTATTCTAGCTATAATTTCTAAAGCAAGTACTACAGAAAAGTAGCATACTATCTTTACTGCTACCTTACCCTATAAAAAATTCCCAGAGGAATAAGTGCCTTTCTTGAGAAACAGTTGAGATCAGGTTTAAAGAACAAGATATGCAAGCTATTTGACAGTTATCAAAAATCTGGAAAGCTGGCARGGCATAAAAATACAATAAGTGATACTATTTTTCTATTTACACACTGCAGTGTGTTGTGACAGAAAGATCAGAAGCATGAAGCTTTAGCACTGCTTCTCTTAAATCTAAAGCTGTCTTTCATTTGTGCTGCTGTACGCAAGATAGACAAGCCAATGATAAACAAAATAATATATTCCATTCTTCTTCTAACTACATTTCATTATTTGCATTACTATCATAGGGACTTCTGTAGTCCTTTTTAAATAGCAACACGTAGAAGAGCAACATGGTATTTGATATGCGGAGTCACAGCTATCCATGTAATGGACTTTAGACAAAGCTGCATGAGAGCCAGGAAAGTGCATTATCTGATTACTACTGTAGGCAATTGTTCTCTTGCCTTCTTAAAAGGCCCTGCCAGTTCAGGGTGAGGTCCCTAAAGCCAGAAGATCCAAAGAAGGAACCTCAGGAACCTCACAACTGGCAAATACAAGATAATTTGCTTTCTAAGATCATTTCCTACCTACTTGCACTAAATTGCTTTACGCACCCTCCGACAATCCTATCTATTTTTTTAAGGGCTATTTTGACTGTGAATATTCTTACAGAAATTATACTAAAAATATTTTAAATATCTTGGATTCTATTCCGCTTTAATTAGATTACCTATTAAAAAAMCTGTTCTTCAGAGAACTATGTATCAAATGCCAAACACAGTGATTGACTAAAAAAGGTTCACATTTGTCGGATACCTCAAGGTTTAGATGTAGCTTGAAGCCTCCTTTGCTTTGAAATTTTATCTCCTTTGTATAAGCATGTAATTTCAGTTGTGTACATGTCAATTATCTATCAATTACAGCTATACTGTATTATCTCTTCTGCTAAGTTATATTTTAGTGTTAGCAGGCAGTTCAATTTGCCAAGTGTGCTCACTTTATTATGTAACACTAAATAGGTTCAACAAAATAACTATTTCATGTTGGTAGAAAATTCTACCAAGTGGAAGGTTTTTGTTCTAACAGATGGCTGCTGACATCAACAACAAACAACTTTCTTGGTTCCTCTCTCATTCTCTGTATCCTGGATACCTGCTGATGCACTGGTTGCAAGGGTGCTGAATGTAGAAACATGATTATTATAAAAAACTCAGCATATGGAGAAGAACAAATAGAAACATAAAACACTGACACAGCATATTCTGTAAATACTGTAAAAATACTGCCATCTTCTAACTTTATTAAACAAATTGCCCAAAAAATACATTAATATTTTATAAGCATAAATGACTGTTTTGTCCCCACTTAGATCTGGGATTGCCCTAGCATCATAACGATATGCCATATCTAAAAATCTGCTCATGTGTTTTTTGCTGTTACATATGGTGATTTAACATCCTGTAACAGTTAATCTTTTTAAATAATGTATAATTCTAATTTTGATTATGTCACAATCCTACATTGCTATTCTGGTGTCAGGCAAAGTAGAATAAAACTACTGCAGTACAGATTTTTATAAAGCTACCAAGGGTCAACACATATAAACACATATGTGATATATTACATATAATCCATATTTTTATCATTTATGATAATTAGGTATACATTATCATAATTATCATTTAGGATAACTAGGATAACACCAAACATACATGACCCTTTTCATCTTATTGGATGGCTTCAGTAAGGGTCAATTTGAAACTACCACTATTACCAAGTTATTTGAAAAGTGTATTTGGCCATAAAAGAGCAACATGGGTCAGCTTTACTTCTTTAAAGTTAGGCATCCTATTCTTTTTAATAATGAGAAAACATGCAGCCACGACTTTACTGACTGTCCACCTACTGCTTCACTGGTTCCCCTAAAAGGCTGCATACCATGGGCCTGAAAACTACTAGAAAGTATATTTTTCTTTTTTGTTGGTAAAATACTGTAAAATGTAATTTCACAGCCTCTGTACGGTTATGCTGTGCCATCCCTCACACCTTTGAAAACAAAGCAAGAAAAAAAAMCAGCTTTATTTACAGTGCATTTACAGTTATAAATGCTGTTTTCTGTTTGTGAATAAAATTTCAAAGTATGCAGGGTGAAAAAGCTGGGAAGCCAATGCTGTAATAGTGTTTCCACTTCCTATCTTTTACTTGTATCACCCAGGAATTCAACAATTTAGTAATGACATGAAGGTCTTTGCATGCTCTTTGGACTTAAACGCTAAATAAGCCAGTATCTAGGAAGAGGAATACTTAAAAACCTATAAACATACGTGCTACTGATGACCTTTTCTTAGGATGTATTCCTCTGATCTCTATAGAAGGATAGTGCAAATTCTTGCTGCAAAACTCCTCTTACTGCTATTGTTGGCAGGGTCATGCACTGCTGACTAATTTATTTGTACATCCTGAAGTGTGAAAATAGGATTTGAACCTTCTATAAAAACTTCTCAGGCAGACTCATGGACTCACATAGGTGCAAAGCGAGTTCCAAGGAGGCACAAAAGTCTAGATCACCATAGGAAACAATCTGATGGGCCACCTGAAGGCCCMAAATTAGCACATACAATGAAATCATGGGTGAAAGATTATAACTCATGATGTTTTGCTTAAAGATTTGTCTAAGGAACAATTCTAAAGTGTTTGAACACAGCAGGCTACATGCTACTGATGCTGCACAGTCTTATGTGCAGAAATGCTGAGTGTTATTGTCAATAAGTATTTGCTATATGCTCCTTTTACCTCCCTCAGATCCGTCTCCTAACAACATCAATGCATTTTAAAACAATATATTGAAAAAAAAGACAGCATAAAGGCCTAGATTTTAATGACTTTTGAATTAAATTGGCAAGTGGCAGAATCTAAGCAGTTACTTTCTTACACCAGAATTCTCAGATCATAATAAAGAGCTATCTTTACTGCAAGTATTTGACAGTATGTGTTTAAAGACACGTATCCAAGTCTGATTGCCTTGTAAAAAGGTTTCAGGTGTTTCTGTAGATGTACAAAAATGGCAATTGCTCCCAGAGAGTGAAAACAAAAGCTCTTCCCTGTAAACATCTATGACGTGTTGCTCAACTTCATTCATGAATGCTTGCACTAAAAATCAATGGGACTTCCCAGCCTGTGCTCGTGAACTGAAGCATGTAAGAGACCACKGTTTTGCTAAAAGACTGAATAATTGACGAAAAAAATTTAAGAAATTTACCTCTGAATTATTGTTACTATATAGATTAAAAAAAAAAAAAAAAACCACACACTAGCCTAAAGAAAATATAGAACATACATTAGTTATTAGGAAACTCTCTCCTATTAAATAATAATAATAATCCAGCAATTTTGGCTCTTTGCTGGATAAAATAATGATCAGAGCCCACTGTGCAGTGAAAGTGAAACAAAAACTCTGATTTACACTTCATGCTTTCTTTTGAAATCTGGATGTGAGTTTCTTYATCAGGAATCATACAGATCGTTGGAGAAGTGTAAACAAGAGAATTGAAAAGATCCAAGCTCCAGAAACCACAGTACACTTCATGATATTTAGGAAATGAATCTTACTGAATTTACTGCATTTTATATATATATATATATATGTATATATATGAAGTATATATAGAGAGAGTAAATATATATATATATAAATGTCTCTTCTGCTTGATACAAAACTATTTATTTTCTGATGCAATGCTTTATAAGCTATTATCAATTCCAGCATGAATCCAGCAATAGCACAAACTAAGAGGTCTCAAAAAGGTTGCTCTTTTAGTAAGGGAAAAAAGAAGTGATAATTTCTTTATTTTGTGTGTGTTACTTAAGCAGTTTCTTATTCCTGAATTGAGCAATATTTTGGTCCAAAAAGCCCTTGTCCTAAAACAGAGGCCATTTTTTTCCCCCCTTCTATACTGGGGCAAGTCAGAGCCAAAAGTAACTGAAGTCCCAGGGGGCACTTCCACTGATGGCACTGATATTACAGATGTCATGCGAAAGCAAAGTTTTAAAAGACCAGCTTATTTGCCTTTCATGCAGTGCACCTATTTCACAGATTCACAGAATTCACAGAATATTTAAGGTTGGAAGGGACCTCTASAGATCATCTAGTGCAACCCTCCTGCTCAAGCAGGCACACCTACAGCATGTGGCACAGGGCGGCATCCAGGCGGGTTTTGAAGACCTCCAGAGTAGGAGACTCCACAACCTCCCTGGGCAGCCTGTTCCACTGCTCTGTCACCCTAACAGTAAAGAAGTTGCTCCTCACCTGGAGAAGGAACTTCTTATGCTTCGGCTTGTGGCCATTACCCCTCGTCCTATCGCTGGCCACCAGTGAAAACAGCTTGTCCCCTTCCTCCCTGCATTCTCCCTTCCTGAACTTATACATATTAATCATATCCCCTCTGAGCCGTCTCTTCTCCAGAGAAAACTCTCTTCTTCGTTTCAAGGAACAAGATTAAGTGAAACTAGCTCTTCAGGTGAGCTTTGCTCCTCAGGGACTTTACCAAACCTTGGCTTCATGCCGCTGAAGTTAAATAAAACAGCAGCATTTCCTAGGAGTTTCCTTGGAATTTCCTAAGAGGGTTTGGTATCCACCTGTGGAGCGGATTGCAACCTCTGGGCACATTTATGGCATGCTTGGATCTGGGAATATTTCTCTGTGTGTGTGGTAAAGGTAGCAGAGAGCACTGGCCTGCTTAATTTCACAGCAGAGCTGGCGCTTAGGACAGTGTGCTTAAATTGAACTGCGTTTTGGTAAAAAACGAGCTATTAAGCCTCGGTGGAGCTGAGCATTCTTCAGGCGCCACGCGGGGCTCGCCTGCTTTCCCCCGATACCGGCGCTCTCCCCCTTATCGCCCAGCAGCTGCCGCCCCGCAGAAAGCGAGRGGCGGCCGAAACCCAGAGCCCCGGGGGCAGCGCAACCCGCTCGCGCGGCTCAGGGCGCCCGGCCGGGATGCGGGCAAAGGAGCCGCCCGGGACGCGGAGCCGCTGGCGCCCGGCGGCACCTGTGGCGCTGCCGCTCCCGCGCGGACGGCGGCGCTTCCCGGGAAGCCGCCCCGGGGGCGGCCGCGGGCTCCSCGCGGGGCGCGGGCGGCCCCGCTCCGCTCCGCTCATCGCTACCGGGGCGCCCCCCGCAGGGCACCCACCTCCGTCGCCGTAGGTCTCGACGCCGTAGCCGTCCTGCAGCCCGTTGCTCCAGGTGCCCTCGTAGCGGGCGGGCGTGCTGAGGCTCTGCCGCACGCCGTAGCGCCCCTTGAAGCCGTGCGACCACTCGCCACGGTACATCCACCTGCCCTTCGTCTCCACGCCCAGCCCGTGCCGCTTGCCCTGCGCCCAGTAGCCCAGGTACGTGTTGCCGCTGGGCCAGGTGTAGCCGCCCACCACCTCGAAGCCGTGGGACCAGGAGCCGGCGTACTCGCCCTGCCCCTTGGGCCCCGTGCAGATGCCGTGCCCGTGGGCTTTGCCGTCCTCCCAGCCGCCGCAGTAGGTGCCGCCATCGTCGAAGTCGAACCGGCCGCCCGTCATCCAGGGCAGCGGGGCGAGCGCGGCGCCGCCGCCGCGACTGCTGCTGCCGCCGCCCTCGTCGCCTCCGTCTCCCTGCCGCCGTCCCCCGGCC